TCTCTCTCTACTCATAGCGGCGGTCGATCAATATTGAACTCCGGAGAACTTACGTGACAGACGGTGACCTACGTAAAAAAAACAACACAGGCGTGACGGCGATATGTATATTTATTCTTATCTCGGGGCGCGAATGGGAATGATTTGAATATATCGTCTACGACTCGAGAAACGCGTATTTATCCATCGAGAGAATAGGACCATCATCTTACTTACGCAGGTTTACGTTTCAATGTGCATCGTCCGCGAAATGATTCTCCTATATCGTCGGTTCTTAACCGCCCGAGTGTGGGTGATCACAAACTGGATATCGACCGCACATGTATAAACAATTAATTATTTTAGCGAGGAAACGTACGCGGAGCGGCGATGTAAACCGGAATTTTTTTTCGCGGCGAAAACAATTAGTGGTAATCTAGCTGATTGCGCTCAGTCGTGAGCAGCTGTTCTCGTGACTTTTATCATGAATTATTCCTCGAAACAACTTGAGTATAAAGAACTCAGCTTTACGAGATGCTAATCATGGGAAATATTGGTAGATATTAATTTAATCGTGGATTCTTTTGTCAAATTTTATCTTAATACATCGTTTAACATTCAAAATATATCTCGTCCATTTTTACAAAGCGCATATTCCAATTTTTAAGTTACATCAAATTCAATTTCTATACTAAAGAACCGCGATTCGATAGAAAGATTAAATTTTATCAAATTCTCGCGAGAAGCCAATTTATTTTATTCTTTCATCTTCTCGTTATTAGAATTTTTTATCGGTGTTTTTTTTATTTTGTTAAATTATACTTAAATACTTATTAAAACAAAATTACACTTAAATATTTAAAATAATATTCGTACAACATGTATAATTAGGAACCGTTAAATAAATGGCTCGGACAAAAGCCTCTTCTCTCAGCAACTGGTGCTACGCCGTTGATGACGAATCAGCAGAATTATACCAGCGTGATGACGTATGCGCATCTGTGTGCGAGCAAGTTACATGCGTCATAGTACTTCCACAGTGTTAAATAGTGACAAAGCACGGTCTGGCATGGCCAGTGAGAATATGAATCAGAGCGCAAATCGTTACTTTCGAATCGCGGCACGGCAAAATAAATGTCGATACCGTCGTTAACGTTAACCGAATAGACACTCGCTACAAGGCGAAACTCATCCTAATTGCAGATTCAACATGCCGATAATCGGCACGTGAACGCCATTCACGAGAATGATCTAATGAAACAAAGTTCCAAGAATAGGCAATTCGTTTGACGTGTTGCATTGTCCAATTATTCTTATCGGATGGAATATTTCCGGCTACGTCCAATGTCCATTTTAATTCTTACTGTGCAATTTAACATAAATAATTTTAACATTCACGCTCAGCTTTTCTCTGCATTTTCACTTCATTGTAGCAAAAAAAGTCACACCGAATGTATTTCGAAAAGATTGAATTTTTGAACGAAATATATTTCTATAATTCTCGTTTTCAATTCTCCTTTCGTTCACGCTCCAACACGACATTGTTTAGATCGAGTATACTTTTGGTACCTTTGTTCATAAAAGAGTTACGAAGATCGTGGAGTTTCTGTCGAATGTCCAAATCGATATTCTCTCGTGTGTACCGCTCGTCGTTTGATTTCACCGTAAATCAATTTCTCTCGAGTTCGTATAAATCTTCTCGGGCGCTCGGACGGCAGATACGAATTCGCAAACAATAATCAGTCGAGTAACGTTCGAGGATTCAATATCCCGTCTTTAAGACGAATATAGTCCGTCGTGGCCGCGAGGTCGTAAGTGGCAATCAAGCTGTAATATGTGATGACCGAGCTGATATTGAATTCCTATCGAATCATCCCCCCGCGGGATCATTGCTCGATGTGTCGCGCGGCCGTGTTTAAAGAATTTTGTTTACATTTCCGATTTTTTTTTCTCTTTCCCGAAACGAAGTCCGGTCCAAAAATCCGGCGACAGAAGAGGAATTGTCCGGCCGGACTGACACGGCGTTCGAATGCGAATCGGCGGGGCACGGGTAACTCCGGGAAAATCAATAAACTACGAATGTTATTTTAAGCCCGCTTTCACGACGGCTCCACGCAGCTGAAAATCCGCGCACACGAGGTTCGCGAGGGCGAAATGTCCCTCGATTGAAAATCGACGACGGCACCGAGTGCTCTCTTCGTGCGCGACTTAAAAAAAAAGAAAATCAAGTCGGTCGTTCGGACGCGAACGCGAAAAGTGCCGAAAGAGAATTACCGCACTCGGCGCTTCTGGAACGAGCGATTAAATTTTAGGTGAATGACATTTGAAGCGAGCCGAGTTCCACGATCGAAGGACGCGTCCTTCGAGTATAGTCACGATTCACATTCCCGACTCGTGACTGTATCGCGCACACATTCACAGTTTGCAGTTTCACACGCGAGGAATTCTCGCGAGGAGAGGAAAGCCGATAGCCGTGCGTTAAATTTCACAAATTTAATTGCTCTCAATCGGAGAGCAATTTTTTTCGCGCTGTATACTCGCCTCGTTTAATTTCGCGCTCGTCCACTGTTAGCTATGAACTCTAGTCAGGTACCTCGAACACGTTCGTGGTACTTTTTTTTTTCTTACATCTCGTGATGTTATACGATTCGTACCGGTCCATTGGAGTCTCGCGACACACAGTGTTGCATTTTTCAGCGCGGTAAATCAAGGCAAGATGTGACACACTTTCGGGATGTATTCCTAGACTCGTTTCATTTTCGTCTCGAGAGTTCGTACTCTTGAACGTGGCCTCCTCTACGTGCCGAACGAGTCGCAAAGATTACGGGATTCCCTTTGGGAATCGTAAAAATAGATGCATCCTTGCAGGATGAAACGTGAGTATTCTCATCTGGCGTTCGGGAATAAAAATGTTTTTCGCAGTTTTTCGTGGTGGCTAACATAAAAATACACTCCTAATCTTGAGTATCACATATACTATCTCTAAATTCTAAATACTAATTTCTAAGTGAAAACGACATTTTGAGTTGCTGTAGAAATATTTTACACCGATAGAAGACACCGATTTTTCGTGATACATTAAAACATAAGATACATGCATGAACAAAATAATAATAAATATAGTAATTTGACTAAAGATATTACTTTTGACTCATGGTACTTTTCTTTAGAAGGTACAAGATTTTTCCTCTGTATCTCATAGAGAAGTTCTCGGCGTTACAAATGTATCGTTAGCATTTGCTATATATCGATTAAAATAAAATATCTCTAAAATAAAATATAATCAAGAGTAATTCGCGTTCTGTCATAGACGACGAGTTATGTTATTAATCAAGTACATTTATACCGTACTTCCTCACAATGAAGAGCTTTTGATTTCAAAACATTTTCCTTCTTATTTTTAGCTCGATATTTATATCCCTTGTAATTATGTAAGGTTTTTATTTTAACATGTACTGCCAATTTTTGACGATACAAGGTTAAGAATGCAGAGATCGAGTGAGCTAAAAATGCAACTGGTACAACTTCCTCTTTATCAAAATTTAAATTTAAATTCTCACAAGGCGATACAAAGTACGTAAAAAAATTTCGTTAATTTCCAATGTTTGAAATTTGAAAAATTCTCGTTTCCCAAAGCTTATCGATTCCTTTCAGGGAATTTCCTCGAATTTTAACATCGTTCATGCACAGTGACATTCCTTCGAATTCCGAAAGGGTCCATGGACCTTAACCTTGACAAGAGTCCAAGATCCGAGTGTCCACGTCACGGGAGTCCATGTCCATTCTTTAGCGCCTATTCCAACTCGATTCGGGACATGATTATGATTCGCAGTTTATAGGTGTAAAAATAGGCGAGCCGCGCAAGCGACTGTTAAGTTTTTAGCCTTCTCTCGCGTCTGGCACAAACGCAGGCAGGCAGGCAGACAGGCAGACAAACAAGCAAGCGAGCAAGCAGGCATGTAAAGACGACGTCCGCGCGCTCTCCCTCCCGCCGACGTGTCTATCGGAGGCTGGTGTCTATAACGATCCCTCTCTCGGCGAACAGATACCAGATATGGGTTACCATTCGCGGGAAACGAGACGAGAGTTTTCTGGGTGAGCGGAGAACAGGGTCGATTGTTGCGCAACGAAAGTCACCGCGACGCGCGAATAGCTCGCCCTTGTCGTCATCTTCCACCTCGACCCGCGGTCGCGGATCGGCCGGCGGTTCAAAAACACCGGATCGTTTCATCCTTGATTGTTCATCAAATGTTAAACGGGGGGGGGGATAAAATGATATCTGGATGCACCCGGACATTATTTCTGAACGCGTTCCCCGGACGACGCGGGAATGCGTTTTTCCCTCGGCGTTCGCGTCGCGATTTTTCGAGGCGATCCGCACGCTGCGATCGTCCGTTGCGAAGTTTTACGCACTGCACTGCGGAATCGGATTTTACGTGGAATCACGTAATGGAGAAACCTTGGCAGCCGCATCTCGGCCGAGTCCTTCTCGCGTCGTGAAAGTAACGTTCCGCGCGATGACGTGCGGCTTGTCCAGTTATTACCGCATCGTTCGTTATCGCTGATGGAGAAAAAAGAAGAAGAGAAAAAAGAAACAAAAAAAAAAAAGAAGAGTGCCATCGATAAAGCGCGAAAGAGATCCAACGAGATAATCTCGCCGTTATAGGATCAAGGGAGATCCGATAAAAAGGCTCTTTTACTCCTTTCCTCGCTTTACCTTCGTGTTTTCTTAATAAATATTCGACGAAAATGGCCGCGCACGTCCTTCGTGTCGAAAATATCGCGCACGTCGAAAAATCCACCTTCGCAATGCCGAAGATCGACGAGAACCTTTAGAAGAAATCTTAAGCGATTCAGCAGAATTTTCAAATATTTGGGAAGACATCGAGTGTTAATGCCTTAAATCCTTAAATTTGGAATCCCGATAAGCTAACGGGAGATTAATGCGTACATCATCAACGACCCGAAATGTTAATATTCCGAAGATTGACGTGGAGTTAACGGCCGTTACGGAAACGGAAATGTTACGATCGATCGATACACGTCGACGAGATTATTTTACACCCCCATTACTTACCGATGAATATTCCAATATTTATCGTTGTATTACGTAATTCCGAGTTGGTCGCGAAAAATGACGAAGTTCCAAATCGCGAGTTCCTTCCCCGAGGGTCGATCGGGTACGATGGGGGTTGCGATGGGGCGCAGCATGCTGTGACTCGCGAGGATGCACAGTTGCAGCATTATCGACTAAACTTTTTTAGAACGCGTCCCGACGATGTCGATAATTCTCTCATTAAGCGACCTAGAAAGCGACGCCTCGTCGCGAGATATTCAACAAATTGCAAATCGCATTAATAAACGCCCCGCCCGGCCATTTTCCGTCCTCCCTTCGCGTCTCAAAATTTCGAACGTTTCCGCGAACGTTTCGATGAATTTCAAATCCATGTTGCAAAGCTCACACGTCCCCTAACAATTTCTAATGTCTATTTCTATCGATATAATTTTAATCCCGGTTTAATTTATCACCCTTATCTGACTGTTAGAATTAAAAGAGGTAAGCCAGATTAAATTTAATCCACATTGAGAAATAGATAGAAATGTTTTTTTCCGGATAGGTTTTTTTCCGTCCTCTTCTTTGACAAATCCTTAAGTAAAGTTGACCTTGAAGCATTTGTACCGTTGCGATTTACTTTCGCATGTTCAAGTACCTTTTTACACGTGATTCAATGCGTGTTACTCGAGAATCGAACGAGAGTGAGACCTTCGGTTTCACCGCCGGGAAATTTCCTTTCACGATGCTACCCCCCGAATGTGGGTGTATCGTTCCTGATAGACATGTCGTAAATATTAGCGGTTCGTGAGAGAAGATCTCGCTGATGAAATCCGTGTGTTCGTAAACACGAAACCGCGCGGCACGAAATTCTCAAAGGCGATCCGATGAAATCGAGGAAGAAAAAATACGCGACGCGTCAGTTCAGCGTCAGAAGCGCGATAAAATCAAGAGTGTGTTCGTACATTTGTAAATAAAGAAAATCACTACACACACACACACACACACACACACACGCGCGCGCGCGCGCGCGCGCGCGCGCGCAGTTGTCGATTTACATCTGCGTTTCGTGTGACATTTGATTTCCATCGTGATCATCGCGATAACGTCGAAAAGTTCAGATTGCAGACTCCCGTAACAAAATTATCGATCGGCACGTCAAAAATGTAATAAAAATGTAATTTCGACAAAGAATTACATGTAAGACAGATGCAATTTTTTTTTTTATTTTTCCGTTAATCTTCACATTTGCGAAACGTGCAAGACGTGCACAGAATAAATAGAAATATTAGATTTGTTTTGTTGTCTCTGTACTGGACTGCACTAAAATTTTCTATCTCACTTTTATCAAATATATACATATCTACTTCATTTTAAATACGACTGATTCAATTAGAAAGAATAGATCAATTAATAACCAAACAAAAATTAAATCTAGTAATTTGCAATTTTAAATTCTTATCGCAATATTAAAGTCTCATTATAAGAACCTCGCTCCAACTTCCAAGACTTCCAAGCAGCTCTAGATGTCGAAAGTCCGTAGTGCAAATTACGGAAATTACGTATCACCATCATTGGTACCAGCAATCTAATCTAGAGATAAAATCCACAAGACACGACTGTAATAAACTCGACTACCCGAGATAACAAAGATTGCGATTCCGTGCGATTGTACCACGTAATCATCCCTCTTTCTAGCTTTACCAGGATTAGACAGAAAGCTCCACGTCGCGCCCGAGACGTTCCCATTTTCGTATCTAAAATCCGCAATCTGCATTCAGCGCCGGAGAGACACGTCTTTCTCTCGTTTCGCGTATTGTGCGTATTGTGAGGACTCGGACAATCCTATGAAACGGGGACAATGACGATCGACAACGGAGAGGCAACGAGTGGCAGAAAATTCCGTTTCCTCTTAACGACAATTCATCTCTAATATCTTTCGAGCATCGCGCGCAAAATTATATGGTGCGAGAGGAAGCTTGGGAGAAAAATCGGACTTTTAATAATAACGCAAACGTCCGCTCGATTTTATGGAGCGCCAAAGCGTGCGTGTTTAAACATTCTTAATCGTTCATCGCCCTGCGACACGGCTAACGGTTTATTATCTTCGCTTTATTATCACGACTTAAGCGAGACTTAAGCTGAGAAGCGACGGCGAATCTCGTCGCGACTCTTGAATCAATTAAGTCTCCGTCTGTCACGCGCGGATTTCGATCGGGTCTTAATGAGCGTCCGATTAATTTGCTCAAATTTGTGATTCGGAGGGAAATTTCAGGTTCACCAATCGCGCTACGAAAAGTGGCCGACATATAGCCGCCCCTTCAATCGATGAAGGACGACCGTGATCGGGAAGCAACCGCGCCGGTTTACTTCGAGTTTGTCATCGTCGGACAGGAAAGTCTTTTCCGCGAACGAACTTTCAGCACGTTTCTGCCGATGAAACACAAAGTCACACTGAAACACAGTTTCAGAACTGTTGCGTTCCGTTCTAAATAATTTTTGTATTGCGTCATCGCGCTTGTTTCCACTTTGCTTTTCAATTTCGATTTTGTTTAGTCTATTTTCAGTTATTTTGCATTGTTGTTACACCTCGTTATTAAGTAGCTTGCTTCATCCAGTTAGGATTACGCCAAGTATAAAAAAGAAAAGAAGAACCGTGATACGAAACGATCGTGCGGCGATCAAGGAGAAATGTCAGGCACATTTTTCGAAGGATGGAGCATCAACAAGAAAAAAAAAACTCAAGATTTAACGAGGCAACTCGGATCGTTAGCGATCGGCTTTCGGTCTCGGAAATTACATCTGTCAATCGTCGTGAACGTCAATTAGCGTCGACCGAATCACGGACGTCGCGTGAGCCGCTCGTTATCGACCGCGGCGACGAAGCCTCCTCGTCGTCCTCGCTCGGACGGGGAAAATCGGGCGAGTCGGGAAGACCGGATTCGGCGGCTTGCCAGGAATCGACGGAGGAACGGGGGAGAGGAGGGGGAGGAGGGAGGGAGCACGAAGCGACAGCGAACGTGATCGCGACAGCGCCGATCGCGAGGCATCGGAAGGAGCGCGAGAAAGAGAAGGTCGGCGCGTGCCTGTCTCTGCCGAAGAGAGGAGAAAAAAAGAGAAAGAGAGAGAGAGAGAGAGAGAGAGAGAGAGAGAGAGAGAGAGAGAGAGAGAGAGACGAC